TGGCGCCTTGTATTTTACCTATCATCGTGGCTGATGTGATGAAACCGATATATGGCTCAACCTATACATGGTGCTTCCACAGCAGCATCCCAGAGACCATAAGTGATGTGGGAACTGACCAAAGCCCCTTCCAACTCCTGCTGTTAAACGAGGCTATGAATTGATCCCACTGCAGAGGTGCATTGCTCCTGGAAGTCTCAGCTGCACAGGGAATGGAAAACGGTTCCATCCGAGAGAAGTTCTCATGACCCTGAGTCAGCAACGGCTTTATCCAAATCCCTCCGAGAAACAAGAACGCTACAGGCAATGTTTTAAATATTTAATGTTTACACAACGCTCAGAATACCAACGGCAACTCAAAGAGAAGGGAATCCTGTGTTCACTGTGAGCCTCAGGGAGTTTCCTCTTCATGTGCGTTTTTCAGCCTGTCTGCCGCCTGCCTACACAAGCAGCAAAGGGCTGCGCGCGGCGTCAACGCCGTGTGCTTTGATGAGCGCCTCATCAACGCGGCCATGCGAAGGCCGAAGGACGTGCCCAAGGGCACGGGGGGACGCGGACCCAGCTGCTCATCGCCACTCCCCGAGCCGCTTTCCTCCCTCAACACAAAGCTGCAGGAGGACACCCGGCTCTCCGCGAGACGGGCCAAAGCGGCGAATCCCCCAAACTCGGTCCGCGCTGCGCCCTCCGGCTAAAGGGCGAGCCTCAGAGGAAGATGGCGGCGGGCGGCGCCCGAGGCGGGAAGGAGAGCGCCTGGCTTGAGGAACGGCCGCGACCGTCGGGCGAGGCTGCCACCTAGCGAGCGGCGGTGGAGAGAGCAGCGGGGGAAGGAGGAGCGAGCCGCGCGCCCGAGCCGCTCCCGGGTGCTCTGGGCCCCGGCGGGGAGGTGCGCGGTGCTGCGCCTGCCTGCAGCGGCTGCGAGGCAATGCGGGAGCGTCTCTGTGGAGACTGTGCCTTTGTTTCCTCGCAGGGCCCGGCACCGTGCTGCGGCTGTGCTCTGAGGGGCTCACGGGTGATCCGCTGATGTCCATTCAGTCAAGCGCTGTGGACTTTCCCTCACGCTGTGCCTGTCCTGGAGCCATTTTCCTCTGCTCTGCTTCAGGCTCCGTTTCCTCCATGATGGACCTACCCAAAGAATAATTGCAAACACCTGTCTCAGCTCTTGTTTTAGAAGGGAATTCAGGGAGTGACGGTGTTGACTTGTTTTTTCTTTCCCCCAAATTCTGTTTAAATCATAAGTGTTTCTTAATGTAAAATCAAGTCCTTTATTTCTGAAGATTTGGACATTCTGTGGTTAATGCAATTAGAGGATAAATCCTGTACACTTGCACTGAGACCCTGGAGTGGCCACGGAGCTTTTCCGGGAGCTGCAGTCCGAGGCAAAGCACAGCCCCTTAGAATCACAGAGCTGTTTGTGTTGGAAGGGACGCTTGTTTGCTATCAGTCCAACCACCCTGCAGTGAGCAGGGACACCTACAGCTCCATCAGGTGCTCACAGCCTGTCCAGCCTGACCTTGAGTGTCTCCAGGACATTCCACCACCTCCCTGGGCAACCTGTGCCAGTGCCTCACCGCCCTTATTGTAAAAAGCTTCTTCCTTATCTCCAGTCTAAATCTCTCCTCTTTTATTTTGGAACCATTTCTTCTTGTCCTAATGTTGGAAACATCCAAATAATTTATCAGGATGGTATCTCTGATGAAAACATTTTATTCACAATTGCAGTGGCAGGCGTCCTGCAAGCAGGAGTGCTCACCGAAAACAGCATTACATCTTCTATGCCCTATTATGATACACTTATCTCTTCCTATCTCTTATCTATACAGAATAGCCTTACTAGTCTATAATAGTATACCCCTACTATTCACAACATTTAAAAACTATTGCAGTTTTGCAAGCAAGAATTATCACATAATTCAGCAACTATATTTTAAAATCTGCCACTAAAACATATGGTATTTTTACTTTTTCACATCAGCTATTTCTAAGGACAAGCTACAAAATACAAATACATTGTGCTCTGCTTCTTCAGATCAGTTTCCCCTTTTCAATATCTAATGCAGAAACAACATTCCATTCCTACACTACCTCGACAGATCTGCTAAACTGCCTCCTCCTTTCTTACAGCCGCCCTTTGGGTACTGAAAGTGCTGCTGTTGAGCAGAATCAGACCTTAACTGGATATGCAACTCTGGAAGCTGTTTGTGTGCTTGGTTAGTTTTCAAGTTCTGCCTCTTGGGGTCCTCTCTACAGAGCAGCCTAAATTAAAGAGTAGAATAAACACGTAGGCTTTAAGGAGAATCTCTGCTGGAAACCACCTGATGTTTTATTAACAAATTGCCCTGTGCATTTAGGTGAATAATAGATGAGCGTAACTCTGGTGGGACACAAGAACCTGGCAGTGCAAGGTGATTGCAAGGTGACTGGTGTCTGTGGTGTGAAGTCGTGAGTTGGGCAAAGCTGCCCTGACACTGTGCAGTTGTAGCAGTTCTGACAGGCATGAAAACAGCCTCAGTACAAAACAGCCCAAATCTGGAGTGAAGATGACTGTGCTGTCATGTCCTTCTTTGTGAAGAGAGTCCTTCCCTAAGAGGAACTCTCCTGAGTCAGGGTTGGGTGGAGAAGAGAAAATCAGTGCTTGCTTCTAGATAACAATCCCTTGTAGTCATTGGCAGCCATGTCATGAGCAGTCCTACCCTGCTGCAGCACAGCTGTGTCCTCTCTGCAGCTGTGAGGGGCCTTGGGTGAGATGCTGCTGGTCAGCACAGCACCAATCTGGCCACGTGCACAGTCTGGGCTATGCTGTCTTGGAGCACAGGAAAACTGTGTGCTGCAGGGATGAGGAGCAAGTCCTGTGTCTGTGCTGGCAAACCGAGGAGTTCTGAAGCAACGCTGAATCATCAGTACGAAGCAGCCTAGAAGAGCATGTGATGATGGGGCTCAGAATACCTTCCACTGGCAGGCTAAAGGCTGCTGGCAACAGCTTCAGGGACTGTGTTTGAAAGGCCGTGTTGTCCCCAGCTTGTGAGACCTCTTTCTAGACCATGCCAGTGTATGTGAGCGTGTCTTTCTGAGTACTTTGTTGCAATCCTACTGAATTACAAGGTGGGCTTTATTTGGTCATGGTTCTGTAGTGAGTACACAGCTGTCTGCCTGCCCTTGGTTGCCTGCTTGTGAGACTCATCTTGCTTCCTTTCTAAGGGGATTTCTTATGAGACCTCAGGAGAAGCTCCTCCTCAGCCCAGATAAATTGCATGTAATTCTTGGATTATGGCACTAGATTAATACATAAAAAAGTTCTCATAGTTTTGTTCCATGGTGGATCAAAAGGCAGTTACACAAGAACATGTCTATATAAGCTGTGAAAATTATCACCTCAGAAAATAGCAGAATTTTGTTGTACCCATGTGATTTTCCATGTTCTTCCCTCAACCATGCAGATGAATCACAGCATGCATGTCGTATATAGGAGGACATTGTTTTTATTATGATTTAAACTCTAGTCTGTTTACTCAATCACAAATTG